CCAGGTCTTCCGGAAACCTGGCTGTGCCGGCAGGCCTGGGGTTGATGAGTTCCCCTCCCCTCTCAACTTGTATGGTTGTATGACTCTTGTGTATTTTAATTATGTGTATTGTGTTTGTATCCCCTTTTGAGTTCTTCACCGCCCTGAGTCCCTCCCGGAGAAGGGCGGCATACAAATAAACTAAAACTTAATCTTAATCTTAAAATGAAAAGCGTTGCAGAGGGGGGTGTCATGGTGGAGGGGGAGATCCCTCCTCACAAAAGATTGCACAATTTCCAGCTGTCTCCTCTTACCAGGTACACAACCTGTGTAGAGTTAACACACCCAGGCAAGTACAGGTAGTCCTTGACTTACAACAGTTCATTTTGTGACCTTTCAAAGTTACGACGGCACCAAAAAAAGTGACTTAGGACCTTTTTTTTTCACACGACCCAGAAAGTCACGTGATCAAAATTCAGCCGCTCGGCAACTGGCTCGTATTTATGACGGTTGCAGTGTCCCAAGGTGATCCCCTTTTGCGACCTCCTGACAAGCAAAGCGCATGGGGGAGCCAGGGCCACTTAACCACCGTGTTACTAACTTAGCAAGCGCTGTGATTCACTTAACGACAGTGGCAAGGAAGGTTGTAAAAGGAGAAGCTCATTTAACCGTTAACGGAAACTTGGGGCTCAATTGTTGTAAGTCAAGGACCTAGGCACCTCAAAGGGCTTTAAAAAGAGAATTTTTTTCCCCCCTGGAATTGTGTTTCCCAGTTGGTGATCCATCACTTCATCCCATACCAAGAACTGCAGAACTGGAAGGACCTGGAAGATTACTCCAACTTCCTGCTGGGATGATTAGCAATAGCAGTTAGACTTATATACCGCTTCATAGGGCTTTCAGCCTTCTCTAAGCGGTTTACAGAGTCAGCATATTGCCCCCAACAATCCCGGTCCTCATTTTACCCACGTCGGAAGGATGGAAGGCTGAGTCGACCTTGAGCCAGTGAGATTTGAACAGCCAAACTGCAGAACTGCAGTCAGCTGAAGTAGCCTGCAGTACTGCATTTAACCACTGCGCCACCTTGGCTCTGATTATTTCAACGCTCTGATTTCTTTTGGACAGATGGACAGTGGCTACAATACCAGCAGCCTCATGGATACAGCTGGAGGCGAGCTCAGCTGCAGAGAGCACAGCGCGTTTGAGGCTCAGAGGAAAACCCACGTTTTCAGAATGAAGGTAGGTGGGCCAAACCCTCGTCTTCGGTTTTCTAAGCCCTGGCTTTGGGGAAGAAATCTAGGAGGTCATAGGGGAAACCTATGCAAAGGTTAACATAGCTGGAACGATCTCCCCGTGGAGATTCGGACCCTCACCACCCTTCAGGCTTTCCGCAAAGTTGGCTGTTCCGGCTGTTCCTGGGGCTGATGAGTTCCCAGCCCCACTCGGATTGTTGTGACTGTTGAGGAGTTTTTTAATCTGTTTTTTTGTATTTGTTTTGTCTTGTTCGTTTTCTTTGTATTGCCCCCCTTC